TATATATATATATATATATAAACAGCACTACCATTTCAAAAGTATACTTCAAATCCTTTGCACCACAATGTATGTTACACCAGCAGGAGGCACTTAAGGGATTAATTCACAAATCAGAAAAAAAAGCACAAAAACAACAGAAAAAATAATTTTATGCACATAATGCAATGCACTTAAACTAGAATAGACTGTGCCTACACTTGAGAACATGGGCCTGTTCACATACACACATATCTCACATGAACACATGTATTATTTGTTAATGAGACACTTAACCGCCGTCTACGAACGGCAGTGTGTGAGCATGCTACAGTAAACCTGCATGTTACAGTATGCCTGCGACCAACCGTGCTTCAAGCATGAATCATTAAACCAGTGTTGTCCCAAGCGGCTTGCGCTAGCTAGCTTTTTCCTGGAGGTGTTTTACGTGAAAGCACGGCTTTCAGTCCCAGCTGTGTTGTTTGGTAAACAGCTCTGTTGCTAGGCAGACCTGTATTATTGCTCTACCAATCAGGGCCTGATTTGACGGGCGAGTAGGACACAGCTTAAGCAAGAGTTATTTTTACAATTGAGCTCCAGATAATGCCTCGGCACGAGTAGTAAAATGCAGAATTAAAAGTCACTGCTATCAAAAGGCATACGTGTTGTGTGTGTGTGTGCGCGTGTGAGTCCTTTTGTCGTACCTCATTCAGTTACCTCCGGTGTTTCAGTGAGTGTTGTGGCCCATTGAAGTCGTTACAATCCCAACGCGACTCGTAGTCTCAGTGCAGGCCTCCAGCACAGCCTGTGGACACACACAAACACACACACATATTACTCAGTAATACAGAGCCAGCAGTCTGTACAGTCACAAACAGGACACCTTCCTACCCTTGAATTCCCGTCCTGTCCTGAGGCCGTGAACTAAGCGCAGAGCGAACATGCTCCACATACAGATGCACTCAGGTGCATTTAGTCTAGTAGTCCCTCTCATACTACTGCAACTCTGTCATCTTGCAGGTCCACTCCCTTTAGACGCTCACAACACAGAACGGACCGCTATGGAAACCGAGTAACAAGACAACACAAAGGCGGAGGTGTGGGTGTACAGTGAGTGTGCTCTTTAAATAAAGACGGTCCTCATAAGAGCTGCTCTAAGATCAGCGTCGAGCTCGCGAGCGTGTAGAACGTACCGAAGCTGCTGCTAGACTTTGGTTTCTTTCAGTAACCACCTGCGGTATTCCATAAGGCATAAAGCGGGAATGACATCACATCCCTCAACTCCCAGAAGCACAGATCTTAGATCAGTATTCAGGAGTAGGACTCCGCAGCACAGATTGCAGATTGCAGCAAGGAAGCTGTGTATCATTTATCTCTGGGGCATTACGTGAGAAATAAACTGTTGCCTCCAGAGGATTAGATAGCAGCAATCTATTTCCAAGTGACATCCCCTCTACTTATGTAGCATTTGTGTTGCAACTAGGGATGTGCAAAAATATTTTTAAAAGTTGACTAGTCAACTAATCTCTCGTAACTGGAAGCCTTGTATATAAGGCTGATTTCAGGTACACCTCCGCCTAATTTCTAGCATTTCTTAGCAATCACAAACATCAAAAAAGTGCCAGATAATGCTCTAATGAATGGAAAAAAGTAAGGGTCTCAAGATGTTTTTTTTTTCTTTAAAGATGGACTATTTTTAACTACACATGTCTTTTAGTCCACGTGTGGTAGCTAGCTTTGAGATTATATTCTGTACACAGTAGTTTAAACCTGAATGCTGACCAAAATCACTTTTAGCAGATATATGCACTTCAAATGTACAATCTTTCTCTCCACTTTTTCACCACATACTACTACTACTACTACTACTACTAATGTAAAAAATCTAAAATATTTAAAATAATTAAATAAATTATAAATGTATTTAAATATAATACATAATTTATAATATATTTTATTAAGATACATGCATTTCAAAATTAAGACTTAAAAAAGTAAAATTAGTTAAAAATAAAAATGTAAAATAAGTAAAATATATATATATTAAATATCGATTTAATAACTATAGATGTATATATTTGTTTATATATAATGTATTAAGACATAATTTATCATATATTTATTAGATATATGCATTTCAAAATTCAATCTTTCTCTACACGTTTTCACCACATAATAATAATAATAATAATAATAAAGTAATTTAAAAAATCAAATAATTACAA